TTTTTTTTTTTTTTTAAAGTAATCTCCATGCCCAACATGGGGCTCAAACTCATGAACCTGAGATCAAGATTCACATGCTCTCCCAATTAAACCAGCCAGGCACCACATAACGGACTCATTTCTAAATTATAAGTCACTTAAATTATTAAACCTTTAATATGACAATACCTTTGCATGCTTCAGTTCTAACTCTGCCAGTTCCACTAAATTTTTTCTGAATGCAGCAACTCTTCTTGTCTTAAAATCTATAAGTTCTGTGAACAAAAGAAATTAGGATTAACTATTTAACTCACATAATAGTTTAAAGTATACCTTATGATTAAAGGGTAAGGTGAACAGTACCTTGTTTTGCAGATTCAGATATTTTTTCAAATTTCTGACAACATAATTGTTGGGAGGTTTCAGCCTGCAGAACATCTTTATTTTTTGCTCTTGCTTTATCCAGTGCTTTATTAGCATTTTCATAATCCACTAGTGACCTAGATCTTCGATAGAGGAGATCCTATAAAACAGAATGCTTCACAGTAATATATGCTGCATGTTTCTAATAGTTACTCGCAACCACCATCATCAGAGCAAACACACCATGAATACCACACATGCCAGCTACTCTTCTCAACTGTTTTTATAACAGCTTTTTTTTTTTTTTAAAGATTTTATTTATTTATTTGACAGAGAGAGATCACAAGTAGGCAGAGAGGCAGGCAGAGAGAGAGGAAGGAAAGCAGGCTCCCCGCTGAGCAGAGAGCCCGATGCCGGGCTCGATCCCAGGACCCTGAGATCATGACCTGAGCCGAAGGCAGCGGCTTAACCCACTGAGCCACCCAGGCGCCCCTTTATAACAGCTTTACTGAGATAAATTCACATACATGTAACTCATTCAAAGTGCCAATTCAACGGTTTTCAGCATGCTCACAGAATTGTTTAACCATTACTACAATCAATTTTAAAACAATTTTGTTAACCAAAAAGAAACCCCATATTCATCAGCAGTCATTCTTCACTTCCTCTCATGCACCCCTCACCCCCAACCACTAATTTGCTGTCTCTATACATTTGCCTATTCTGGACATTAAAAAAAAAAAAAAAAAAAAAAAAAAAAAAAGATGGAATCATATAATATGTGGCCTTTTCTGTCTGGCTTTATTTACTTAGCTAAAGTTTCAAGTTCATTAATGTTTTTTGTGAACCAGTACTTCATTCCTTTAATTGCTAAATAACATATCACTGTATGGAAATACCACACTGATTTATCCACTTATCAATCAATAAGACATTTGGTTTGTTTCCACATTTTGCCCATTATGAATAATGCTGTTTTGAATATGTTTTCCTTTCTCTTTCATATCTCATTACTTAGGAGTGGAATTGCTGGGTCACTTGGTAATTCTATGTTGAACCTTTTGAGAAACTGCCAGATTAGCAGCTGCACCACTTTACACTCCAATGACTCTTCATGAGGGTTCTAATTTCTATACATCCTTGGCAACACTTATCTGTCCTTTTGGTTAAAGCCACCTAGTGGGTGTGATATGGTATCTTATTGTGGTTTTGTTTTGTTAGTAAAGATTTTATTTTTTAAGTAATCTCTACATCCAATGTGGGGCTTGAACTTACAACCCCAAGATCAAGAGTTGCATGTTCTGGGGCGCCTGGGTGGCTCAGTGGGTTAAGCCTCTGCCTTCGGCTCGGGTCATGATCTCAGGGTCCTGGGATCGAGCCCCACATCGGGCTCTCTGCTCAGCGAGGAGCCTGCTTCCCTCTCTCTCTCTCTGCCTGCCTCTCTGCCTACTTGTGATCTCTGTCAAATAAACAAATAAAATCTTAAAAAAAAAAAGAGTTGCATCTTCTACCTATTAAGCCAGCCAGGTATCCCTCGCTGTGGTTTTGATTCGCATTTCCCTGATAGCTAATGTCGTTGAGCATCTTTTTACGAATTCACTGGCTGGCTGTATGTTTTCTTTGGAGAAAGGATTATTCAAGTCCTTTGCCTATTTTTTAATTGGGCTATTTGTCTTCTTACTGAGTATTAAGAGTTCTTCGTATTTTCTGGATACCAGTTGCTTAATTAGGGGACTTGTATGATTTGCAAATATTTTCTCCCTGTCTATGGGTTGTCTTTCCACTTTTCTTCATGGTGTACTTTAACACACACAAGTTTTTAATTTTAATAAAGTTCGTCCAGTTTATTATTTTTCCTTTGGTTCCTGTGCTCCTGGTGTCATATCCAAGAAACCAATGTCCAATCAGAAGTCACAAGATTAACATTTGTTTTTTTCTAAAAGTATTACAGTTGTTACGTTTAGGTCTTTGATCAATTTTTTTTTAAAGATTTGATTTATTTATTTGACAGAGAGAGCACAAGTAGGCAGAGAGGCAGGCTGAGAGAGAGGGGGAAGCAGGCTCCCCACTGAGCAGAGAGTCCAATGCAGGGCTCAACCCCAGGACCCTGAGATCATGACCTGAGCCGAAGGCAGACGCTTAACCCACTGAGCCACCCAGGTACCCCAGGTCTTTGATCAATTTTGAGCAAATTTTTATACATAGTATGAGGAAGGGGTCTAGCTTTATTTTCATGTGACTATTCAGATGACACAGTACCATTTATTGAAAAGTCTATTCTTTTCCCCCCAAAACTGTCTTAGGACCTTTTTTAAGAATCAATTGATTGGGTGTCTGGGTGGCTCAGTTGGTTTACCTTTGCCTCAGGTCATGATCCTAGGGTCCTGGGATGGAGCCCCACATAGGGTTCCCTGCTCAGCACAGTCTGTTTCTCCTTTTCAGTCTGTCCCTCCCCCAGTCTATGCTCATATGTGCTCTGTGTTAAGTAAATAAATAAATAAGAAGTGGTCAATGTGAAAAGGCCCTACTATATGACACTCTGGAAGAGGCTAATCTATGGAGATGTAAAAAAAAAAAAAAGAACATTAAAAAGTTAAGGGGAAAGAGGACGAATAGATGGAGCAGAGAGGAATTTTGGGGCAGTGAAAACTATTCTGTTTATAATGGTGATGCTTATAATGGTGATGCTTATAATAGTAGACAAGTATCATTACACATTTCTCCAAACAAAAAAGAACATGTAACACTAAGAGTGAGCTCTAGTGTAAACCATGATCTTTATTGTTTTGCTTCTTTTACTCAGCAAAATTATTCTGAGATTCATCCATATTTGTTGCAAGTTTCCACGGTTCATTCCTTTTTACTGCTGAGTAGGATTCCACTGTATATATACACCACAATTTCTTTATCCATCCAACTGCTGGTGGACATTTGGGCTGTTGCAGTTTTTGGCTATTACAAATAAAGCTGCTGTGAACATCTGTGGGAACACATGCTCTCAAATACCCAGGATTAGAATGACTGGACCACAGATGTATGTTTAATTTTTTAAGAAACTATAAACTTTTCCAAAATATTGTATCATATTCCAACTAACAGGGTATGAAAGTTCTAGTTGCTATAATTTTTGTCAGAATTTTTCATTTTAGGGGTGCCTGGGTGGTTCAGTTGTTAAGTGTCTGCCTTCAGCTCAGGTGATGACCCCAGGGTCCTGGGATCAAGCCCCATATTGGGCTCCCTGCTCAGCAGGAAGTCTGCTTGTCCCTTTCCCTCTGCTGCTCCCCCTGCTTATGATTGCTCTCCATTAAATAAATAAATAAAATCTTAAAAAAAAAAAAAAAGAATTTTTCATTTTAGCCACATTCTCATTAAGGGGCACCTGTGGTGAGGGACGTCTGGGTGGCTCAGTTGGTTGAGCATGCCTTTGGCTCAGGTCATGATCTCAGGGTCCTGGGATCAAGCCTCATGATGGGCTTCATGATCAGTGGGGAGTCTGCCTGAGGATTCTCTCTCCCGCTGCTCCCCCCACATGTGCACATGCATGCTTTCTCTAAAATAAATACATAAATCTTAAAACAAGAAAAAAAAAAAAAGGTGTGTGGATCCCCCCCCAGCTGTTTAATAAATATTAAGTATCTTTTAAACAGCTATTTACTTATTTAATTACTTATTATATTCAAGAACAGTTAGCACGCAATGTTACATTAGTTTCAGGTATGCAACAGCGATCTGACCACTCAATGCTATGCTGTGCTCACCGCAAGTGTTAATGCCCATCTGACACCATACACTACTATTATACTATCGTTGATTCCCATATTCCCTCTGCTGTAGGTAGTTTTAATTTTTGCAATTAAATTTCAATTCCTTCTTGTGGTCACTAAAAGTCTGGATTTACTTTTATTTATTTTTTATTTTTAAATTATTTATTTATTTATTTATTTTTGAAGATTTTGTTTATTTGTCAGAGAGAGAGAGAGAGAGTGCACGCACGCACAAGCAGGCAGAGTAGGGCAGAGGTGGAGAGTGAAGCAGGCTTCCTGCAGAGCATGGAGCCCGATGCAGGACTCGATCCCAGGACCCTGGGATCATGGCCTGAGGCAAAGGCAGCAGCTTAACCAACTAAGCCACCCAGGCATCCCTGGATTTACTTTTAAAGCCATGTTCTAAAAAGTTATGTATTAACAACTATAATATTATAATAAAATAATGAATTTAGTCTTTCAAGTGAATAATTCATTTTATCCCTATCCACCCCAATGTAAATGGTTTGTAAGACACAATCTGGTAAAATAATTTGATGTGGACAGTATATTTCCAAGTACCTAAGTCTTCAAAGTTAGAAAGATTATTTATAACTTGTTTATTATTTAAGTAATCTCTCTCTCTTTTTTTTAAGATTTTATTTATTTTAGAGAGAGACACAGTGAGAGGGAACACAAGCAGGGGGAGTGGGAGAGGGAGAAGCTGGCTTCCTGCTGATTAGGGAGCTGGATGCCCACGGGGCTTGATCCCAGGACCCTGAGACCATGACCCAAGCCGAAGGCAGATGCCACCCAGGCACCCCTTAAGAAATCTCTTTACTTTGCATGATGATTGCACTCACGATCCCGAGATCAGGAATCATATGCTCTTCCAACTGAGCCAGCTAGGTACTCCTATAATTTTTTTTAAGTAAGCTCTAAGCCCAACACAGGGCTTGAACTCAAGACCGTGAGATCAAGAGCTGCATGATCAGCCCCCCAAGTGCCCCAAGGGTTATTTATAATTTGATAAGGAATGAAAAACTGGTGTTCAAAGCACCACTGATCACATGGGAATTTTTTGTACAATATATCAATTCATAAATTAACACTGAATTTAGAATGTCTTTCTTCCCCCAAGATTTTATTTATTCGACAGAGAGAGAGAGTACAAGCAGGGGGAGTGGCAGGGAAAGGAAAAATCGGGCTCCTGCTAAGCAGAGATCCCGACGTGGGGCTCGATCCCAGGACCTGAGCTGAAAGCAAGACACCCAACCTACTTAGCCACCCAGGTGCCCCAGCCTCTTTCTGTTTTTTTCTTTAAGATTTTATTTGTTTACGTGTGAGAGAGCAAGAGGGTATAAGCAGGGGGAGCAGCAGAGGGAGAGGAAACAGCAGGCTCCCGCTGAGCAGGGAGCCTCACGTGGGGCTTGATTCCAGGACCCCAGGATCATGACCTGAGCTGAACGAAGGCAGATGCTTAACTGACTGAGCCACCCAGGCACCCCGAATTAAGAATATCGGAGCCACTAAGTTTTTAGTGCTTTTTCAGATGTTTCTGTTAAACATTTTTTTGGATTAGTTAAGAGTTTCAGTCTTGCACACAGACAGACTTCCAAAAGGAAATTTGAGTTGCCTTAAAATAAAACATACCCTGGTTTTACAGTTCTCTCACTCACAACAAAGGACTTAGGAGTCCTTTAGCTATAGAGACTGTTATTTGGGGATTTTACTTTTTGTTTTGAAGGCAACTTACCCAAATGAATATACCAAATTCATTAAAAAAAGTTTTAGATTATACGATATCAGAAGTTTATAGAGTAAACTTTTATGTGGGGATCCTTGACCAACAATTTGTAAAAGGACAGCAAAAAATTCACACTTGAAAATCTAATTTAAGATCAAGAGATAATCATTAACAATCTTAAGTCTAACAACCTCTAAGGCTTTTGGTAAAGAGATGGCTTTTTGTAAAATAGTCCATTTTAAAAAACAATGAACACTCAAATTACCTTAGCAGCTTGAGATTCCCTTAAGTAATATTTTAAAAGGTCGGAAAGTTTGAGGTCTTCATCAGCAGACACTCGTGCTTCTATTTTCTGAAAAAGGCGGGGGGGAAATCCAGCATTTAATTAGCAGTTATATTCTACAGCCAATGTTTTCTTTAATTACTCTAAAAAAATTAAAGTTAAAAATAACTATAGTATCCATTATCCATTCCTATTTAACCTAAATTTCCCTGCTTTCTCCTTTCTACTAGCCTATTACTTTACTTCAGGACTCTGACAAAAAATGAACAGAAAAAAGGATGAAATCAAATGAGATTAGTGAATTTATGGAAGAATTCTATATTTGACTCAAGTTCTTGGCAATAATGAGTTTCAGTATCATCTTTCAGCATCACTTATATTTCTTTCTTGTTACATCATTTCAGTGATAAAGGATGGGTGTCCTGGGTGGCTGAGTCTCTTGACTCTTGATTTTGGCTCAGGTCATGATCTCGGGGTTGTTGAGATTGAGCCCATGCTGGGCACCATGATGCGTGTGCAGCCTGCTTAAGATTCTCTCTTCCTCTCCTTCTGCCCCTCCCCCTAAAAAAAAAAAAAGTGAAGGAAGACTAGGAAATTCAAATCAATCTTCCTACTGATAACAACCAAAAAACAGTCAAAACGTTAACAAAATGTGCCTGAAGACATGAAAGAATAATAAACAGATGTGGTTAGTTTGAACTGGGATAAAATACGAAGCAGCCTTGTTAGACTAAAAAGATTAAACTATTCAATTCGGTTTGGAGACAGAAAATAAAAAAAGACGTGTTTGTCAACCAAATAAAAAATAGGGACCTTGTTTGAACCCTAACTCAAATGAACTCCACTGTAAAAAGCCATTTGCATCTATATACTCAATATTTGATGATATTAAGGGGAAATCATTGATAATTATATTGACTATATTAAATTCATTTTAAAGTGTTTTTAACATTTATTTGAGATAGAGAGGGAGAGAGAGAGAACTTGAGTGGTGAGGAGGGGCAGAGAGAGAGGGAGAAGCAGGTTCCCCACTGAGCAAGGAGCCTGCTGTGGGGCCTGATCCCTGGACCCTGACATCATGCATCACGACTTAAACCAAAAGCAGGCCTTCAACCAACAGAGCCACCCGGGCACCCCTTGACTATATTAAAATTAATTCTTATCTTTTTAAAAAAGAGATATGCATAGGGACGCCTGGGTGGCTCAGTTGGTTAAGCGGCTGCCTTCGGCTCAGGTCATGATCCCAGCGTCCTGGGATCGAGTCCCATATCAGGCTCCTTGCTCGGCAGGGAACCTGCTTCTCCCTCTGCCTCTGCCTGCCTCTCGGCCTACTTGTGATCTCTCAATCTCTCTCTCTGACAAACAAATAAATAAAATCTTTGAAAAAAAAAAAAAAAGATATGCACAAAGGGTAGAAAAAAATGAATATGGACTTTAGGGGAAAAAGCACTTCTAAGCAATGATGAAATTGTTAATCACCTGGAAATCTGGGGGACACACGTACAGGAATTCTTTGTATTTTTTTTTTTTTTAAGATTTTATTTATTTATTTGACAGACAGAGATCAGAAGTAGGCAGAGAGGCAGGCAGAGAGAGAGGGAGAAGCAGGCTCCCTGCTGAGCAGAGAGCCCGATGCAGGGCTTGATTCCAGGACCCTAGGATCATGACCTGAGCCGAAGGCAGAGGTTTTAACCCACTGAGCCACCCAGGTGCTCCTGTATTATTCTTTTTTTTTTTTTAAATTTGACAGAGATCACAAGCAGGCAGAGAGGCAGGCAGAGAGAGAGAGGGAAGCAGGCTCCCTGCCGAGCAGAGAACCCGATGCGGGGATTGATTCCAGGACCCTGGGATCATGATCTGAGCCGAAGGCAGAGGCTTTAACCCACTGAGCCACCCAGGCGCCCCAGGTGTACTAGTCTTTTTAAAAAAATATTTTATTTATTCATCTGAGAGAGCGAGAGAGGGCGTGCATGAGTGGAGGAGAAACGCAGAGGGAGAGGGAGCAGCAGACTCCTCACTGAGCAGTGAGCCTGACGTGGGGCTCAATCCCAGGACCCTGAGATCATGACCCAAGCCAAAGGCAGATGCTTAATCCACTGAGCCACAATAATTTTTGTATTATTCCTGAAACCTTTCCGTAAGTCTGAAATTACTGCTGAAATAAAGTTAAAATTTAAAAACCCTACACATCTAGGGGCGCCTGGGTGGCTCAGTGGGTTAAGCCGCTGCCTTCGGCTCAGGTCATGATCTCAGGGTCCTGGGATCGAGTCCCGCATCGGGCTCTCTGCTCAGCAGGGAGCCTGCTTCCCTCTCTCTCTCTCTCTGCCTGCCTCTCCGTCTACTTGTGATCTCTCTCTGTCAAATAAATAAATAAAATCTTTAAAAAAAAAAAAAAACCCTACACATCTAGCAGAAAAACTAAAATAAAAAAGATAACAAGTATTGTAAACTTGTGTAGCAACCCACTGCTCACATTTATTCTGGTGGGAATGTAAACTGATACAATCACTTTGGGGAAACAGTTTGGCACTATCTACAAAAGCTTTTCACATGGAGACCCTATGACCCCTAATTCTCCCCCTGGTTATACACACCCAATGGAAATACACACTTATTTTCAGCTGAAGATATCCAAGAATGGTCTTAGAAGTACTATTTATAAATAGCCACAAACTACAAACTGTCCAAATTCCTACCAACAGTAGAACAGATGAGTAAGTTCAGGTATATTCTTTTTTTTTTTTTTTTTTTTAATGTATTTATTTGACAGAGGGAGATCAGAAGCAGGCAGGCAGAGAGAGAGAGAGGAGGAAGTAGGCTCCCTGCTGAGCAGGGAGCCCGATGCAGGACTCGATCCCAGGACCCTGAGATCATGACCTGAGCCGAAGGCAGAGGCCTTAACCCACTGAGCCACCCAGGCACCCCAGTTCAGGTATATTCTTACAAAGGAAAGCTATACAGCAAGAAGAATGAAGGAACTATACAAACATGCAACAACATTGGTGACTCTTACGTACACAGCGTTGAGTGAATGAAACCAGACATAAAAGAATACATACTGCATAAAGCATTTATATAAAATGTGAAAATAAAATTAACCTCTGCTGTTAGAAGCTAAGATAGTGCTACCCTTGAGGGGGGGGGTAACTCATAAAAGGCAGCTGAAGAGGGTCAGGGTATCTGGGTTGCTGGTAAGAATTTTATTTTCCTTTTTTTTTTTTTAAGATTTTATTTATTTATTGGACAGAGAGGGAGAGACAGTGAGAGAGGAAATACAAGCAGGGGGAGTGGGAGAGGGAGAAGCTGGCTTTCCGCTGAGTAGGGAGCCCAATGTGGGGCTCGATCCCAGGACTCTGGGATCATGACCTGAGCTGAAGGCAGACACTTAACAACTGAGCCACCCAGGCACCCCAAGAATTCTATTTCTTGATCTGGGTGTTCATTATATGGGTATGTGAAATTTGTAAAATTTCACAAGCTGTATACTTCTGGTATGTGTTCTTTCCTGTATGGTATACTTCAATACAAAGAAAAAAACTTGAAGCTTCTCAAGAAATATTCCTTTAGGGGTGCCTGGGTGGGTTAAAGCCTCTGCCTTCAGCTCAGGTCATGATCCCAGGGTCCTAGGATCGAGCCCCGCATCGGGCTCTCTGCTCAGCAGGGAGCCTGCTTCCCCCGCCCCCCGCCTGTTTCTCTGCCTACTTGTGATCTCTGTCTGTCAAGTAAATAAATAAAATCTTTAAAACAAAACAAAACAAAAAACAAACAAAAATCAATGACTTATTTATAAAAAAAAAAAAAAGAAAGAAATATTCTTTTATAATAGAGAAATAAACTTGGGAACTTTTTAAGAGTTTATTTATTTATTTGACAGACGGAGATCACAAGTAGGCAGAGAGGCAGGCAGGGGCTTCTGAAGGCAGAGGCTTTAACCCACTGAGCCACCCAGGCGCCCCAAAATTTGAAACTTCTTAATCTAACAGATAAATGCACAAAGTATATTCAAAATTGAGTTAGATAAATTTAGATATACGGATTTATATAAATCCAGGTAACATGTTAGTCGGATGTCAGGTGCTTTTAAATATGGCTCCTCTCCTTCTATTAAGAAGTAGAGTATTTATCCTCTCCCCTTGAATCTGGGCCCTAAGACTTACTAACCAATACAGAAGTAAGGCTGTGCCAGTTTCCAGGCCTTAATGAAACTAGCAATTTCTGCTTCCTATCTTTTGGAATGCTTGCTTTTGGAACCTAGCCACCATATTGTGAGGAAGCCTAGCCGCTCCATAGATAAGCACCATGTAGGTGTTTTAGCCAACAGCCCATGCTGAAGTCTCAGCTGAGAGCCAGCATCACCCCCCAGACATCTGAAAGAGCCTTCAGCTCATTCCAGTCCCTAGCCTTCATATGTTCCCTGTTGAGGCCCCAGACATCATGGAGCAGAGGTAAGCCATCTCTGCTCTGTCTTTTCTGAATTCTTGACCTAAAGACTTCATTAGCATAATAAAAAGTTGTTGTTTTAAGCTCCCAATTTTAGGATGGTTTGTTACACAGCAAAAAAACCAGACCACCACAAAAACACTAAAAGAAATAAAGATTGTTGTGGCTACGGCAGCGTGCCACCTAGATCTCCTTCAAGAGCAACTGCTTGCTGCAAGGATTATATACGGTTCAGAGTCCCAACGGCAATCTCTCTAGATCCAAAACAATATGCATCCCAAGGTTCTGATGCATCCTCCCCTGCACCCAATGACAGAGCACAGGGGCAGCAGTGCCAGCCTGTCCTGCCTGACACAGCAGTCCCTCTAATGAGCCACTTGGGCTCACCTGGACAAAACTTTCTTAGAACTATGCTACGATCTGAAATTCTTCCTACCCAGTCCCCTCTTCCTCTGCCCTCTCCTTTCACAGGTATAGACCTGCATTATGGTCTAAAGGTACTTCATGTCTATCCTGCTCCTTCCTCTTTGTTCTTCCCAATAATCTCTTGCACATCTAAATCCTTTTGACATCTACTTGCACATCTACTGACACATAAAGCTATTTTGTGATAAATCCTTGTTCTTTTGATGTAAACACAAAGAAATCAATGATATTTTCCCAGAAAATGCTTATTGGTACAAATAACCAAAGCAGAATAATGGACCCCAGTATAACAACATTTATGTATTTAATGACTCTTTCCTCTGTGAGAGAATGTCTCCTTTCCTTGTCTTCCCTACACATTATTCAATTGACAAAGTCACGCTGAACTCAGATTTCTACAATGGACTAGCCACCTCCACTCTCAGTTAAGTACCTTTAAACTCCACCCCCCCTTTTTTAAAAAAGATTTTATTATTTATTTGAGAAGAGAGAGAAAGAGAGAGAGAAAAATAAAGAGCATGAGAGGGGAAAGGTCAGAGGGAGAAGCAGGTTCCCCACTAAGCAGTGAGCCCAATGTGGGACTCGATCCTGGGACTCCAGGATCATGACCTGAGCCAAAGGCAGTCATTTAACCAACTGAGCCACCCAGGAGCCCAATAAACTTCTAATAAATATTTGCACTATTCTATCAACTTTATCAAAGTGTTTAAATATTACTGCATCTAAGATTGATCCCTGAAAATCAAGACTATGTCAACATTATTCTATGAATTACACCTTTCTACAATTGCCTATTTGTCTTGTATTGATACAACTCATTTTTATTTTTTAATTTTTTGAAAGATTTTATTTATTTATTTAAGAGCGAGTGAGAGAGAGAGAGAGAGCGAGAGCACACGAGTGGGGAGGGCCAGAGAGTGAGAGAAGCAGAATCCCTGCTGATCGCAAAGCCTAACATCAGGCTCAATCCTGGGACTCCAGGATCATGACCTGAGTTTGAAGGCAGATGCTTAAGCTACTGAACCACCATCAGGTGCCCTGATACAATTCATTTTTAAACCAGTGTCATGGGGGATCAAAAACAGTATCATCTTGGTAAAATCATAATGAATCCAACACTTTCTTCTAGTTTACACAGACCCAGAAAAAGATCATTCTTCATAAAAATAAACGCTGTTTCATAATGAACATGTTCTCTGATCAAGAATATGAACTTTTACACAAATACCAGAAGGCCATAACCAAAAAATGAATTTCCTGAAAAAAAAAAAAAAAATCAAATTTTCAAATCTAAATCTGTCTCTTCATCCTTCTGAAGTATAGCTCATCTTTCTCAATAAAGTTAAACACAACCACAACAGGTAACACATTACTGTACGCAAGGATTGAGACTCCCAAAGGTTAATTTATAGTACTTACTCTTGTTTTATCAAACAGTTCTGAAACTTTGAGAAAAAACCTGGAAGGGAAAAATAGTTCATCAGAAGTAAGCTTTGAAATGATTTTTCATTTCAAATGTTCAGAGCATATGCTCCCAAAACTGTATTAATAATGAACTTTCTTATTTCATTACAGTAATATTTAATGGTCTTATTCACTGCAGACTTAACTAAGTTTCATTTAACTAAGTTTCATTTAGTTCAACACCTCTGTACATTCATCCATATGACAGATTATTTGAAAACTGTTGTTACAAAAAAATCTTCCCATTTCAAGGTAACAGTCTTAGCCATACTTTTATTTATTTAGTATGTACTTTAAAAAATATATATTTATTTATTTGAGAGAGAGAGAGAGAGATCACAAGTAGGCAGAGAGGCAGGTAGAGGGGGAGGGGGAAGCAGGTTCCCCTCTGAGCAGAGAGCCTGACGTGGGGCTCGACCCCAGGACCCTGAGATCATGACCTGAGCAAAAGGCAGAGGCTTAACCCACTGAGCCACTCAGGCGTCCCATATTTAGTATGTACTTTTTAAAGTAATCTCTATACCCAATGTGGGACTTGAACTCACAACCCCAAGAACAAGAGTCACATGTTCCACTGACTAGGCCAGCCAGGCACTCTAAGCCATACATTTAAATTAAAAAATTTTTCCTTATATTCTTTAGCAATATGCCACATAATATTAAATAAAGCCTGTATCTTCAAATTGCTATAGAAGTACAGAACAATCAGATCCAAAGAGGCTGACTTTAAAGGAAAAAACTAAAGTTGGAGCAGCTCTTGAAGTTATCTGATACTTATGTGTTAAACATCTTCAAGCAGAGCTGCTTTGTTTTAGAAAATAACAAAAATGAATAACCAATTTCTATCTCAGAATTCACGTTTAACTAAACAGCCTATCTCTCAAATGCTGACACCAACTAAAAAAAAAATCCCAATACCAAACTATTAACAGGGTATTCTGTGAAATACTATGTAATTACTGGCGATGTTATAAATAGATTGGGGCAAGTACTACTAAAAGCTAAAACACTATTTTATGAACTTCGTTTTGCCAAAAAGAACTTGCTTTGACAGGTTTATGTCCAATAACTCACAGCAAGGTTGACTTTTCCTTCTTATTAAAGTGTTAGAGACTAACTCTTTGGGAAGGTAGCATATTAATGTAATAAGTTATATACAGTATCCTGTTTTGCTGAAAAACTTGGATTTTACATGTCTACTAAGACAGGATATACTAGAAAAAAGTTCAAGGATGTGGTTTAGAAAAAGGCATAAATTGTGAAAATAGTTTTCCACTTAAAATTGAAAAAAAAAGTTCGGATTATTTTTTAGTGAGGAGTTGGATTTAAACAATATTATAGGAGCAACTAAAATTAACTATGGTTAGATTAATGTGAAAAACTAGTATAAAGTAAATAAAGGACAGCTACATAAGCAAATATCCAGAAAGCATTTCTATATTAACATGTATGATACTTTCCCAACAGGTTACTCTAGGACTGCCCTAAGATTCATTAAACTTATAAACTAGAATAGCCAGGCTGTTTAAAAAGTGTAAACTGACAGCACCACATTTTACTTTAAAAGTCAATCTGGTTTCAAAGAAATACACACATATATATAGTATATTCTAATTCCAAAATGTTTATTTATAATAAACTTCATCAAAACCTAAGAACATTTTGATATAAATTCTGTCTCCTTCTTCCTCACATACATAAATCAGCCAATTTTCATCAAATAAAACTTTGTAAATGTTAAAATTGTATATATTAAAGTCAATTTTTACTTTTCAGATTTAAAAAAGGGAGAAATGGTAGAGAAAAAATGACACTGAACCAAGTTTGTAAGAAGTGCCTCATTATTGATATATTTTAAAGAAGATATTCTAAATGCCTCTTGGGTTGGAAATATTCTGTGTGTTCAGGCTACCAATGAAATTTTTGCTTTATTTATTTGAAATCAGAATCCTTACTTGCATATATCTGTAGAATCCTGAGTTCCTAAAGCATATAATGAAGAACCAATTCTATTGTAATCATCTGCAGCACCTATGGGAAAAATTTTTAGAATTTAATATATTTTTTCACTGATTCAAAAATATTTATTGATCACCTACTTGGCAAACAATGTGAATGTAAATAACCCAAGTCTGGTGAAGGAAATGACAACAGCTATAATATAATTTGATGAATATTGTATTAGACATAGAAACAGACTTCTTTGGGAGCAGGGGAAACAGATGATTCCACCTGAATAAGTTAGGGAAGGATTTACAGACCCTACTGAGTGAGTCAGAACTTGTAGGATAAGTAAACCTTTACCAGGCAAAATGGAGGGGACAGCATGGATAAAGGTCAATGAGACATTAAAGAGTACAGTATATTCAGACAGCCGTCCAGGAAGAAGGCCCTTTAGAGTACAGAAGAGAATGGATAGAGTTGAAGGTGGAAAAATAAACTGAAAGTATCTTGGGGGGTAAACAGGTTTTTGTAAGACATGATAAAGTTTGGATTTGATATTGTAAGAAGGGGTATTAATAGACATTTTAAAATATCATTTAAAAATAACCACTAAGGATTTTTAGATAAAAGTTCTTCTGCCTCGAATAAAGACTAGAAATGGAGACACAGAAGGCAGAGGAACCACCTATGAATTTGCTGTGTCAGATACTGATGGTCAGGATCAAGTGAGCAAGAAGAGTGACAGCAGAGAATGACAAAGCTGGAAGATATTTAGGAAACCTAATAGGCAGGATTTACAAACAAGAGACCCGAGGTAGGAGGGAAATTTAAGGAGCTTGGGAAGCTAGATGAATGGTGGTAGCACCATTATCCTTGGGTGTTAGGAAGCTAAGTATTCAACTTTAGCACTTTTCCCAGGGCTCACCCCATAGGACAATTTTTTTAGAAAAGATTACTCATTTCAGAAAAAGGATAGTATAGTGCAACAGTTAATTAAGAGCATGGAACTGGAACCAAACTGCTTAGGGTCCAATCCCAATTTACCAGCTATATGGCCTTGACCTTATCACTTAGCCTGTGTACGCCTTACTTTCCTCATCTGTAAATGGGGATAATAATGGTACCAGCTCTGTGCGATCACCTGGACTAAATGAATTAATGAATGTTATTATATAGGCACACAGCAAGTACAGTATTATACAAACGTTTGCTATTATTAACAAAATCCCAGACATGTCTACTTTGTATGGAAATTCCCACTTATGCCAGTAGTATTTTTTACAAGGTTTAATGTGTTTATTCTCTTAAAAGAACAGTAATCCTTACACTGTACTTTCTTATGCTGTACAAAGTTACATTCAACAGACAAGACTGAAATTTGGTGACTCTATTTACTTTTTAAAATTATTTAAAAAAATAAAATAAAATTATTCAAAACAGGGCACCTGGGTGGCTCAGTTGGTTCAGCAACTGCCTTCAGCTTAGGTCCTGATCCTGGAGTCCTGGGATGAGTCCCACATCTTTCCCTGCTCAGCAGGGGGTCTGCTCTTCCCTCTGACATTCCCCCCTCATGCTTACTCTCTCATTCTTTCTGTCTCAAATAAATAAGTAAAATCTTTTAAAAAATTCAAAACAAGTCGATTTTGATATCTTTTATAAAGAATCTTTTTTTTTTTTGAAGTGGGCTCTATGCTCAAACTTACAGAAGAGTTGCACGCTCTACTCAACTGAGCCAGCCAGATGTCCCCATAAAGACACTGTGAATACAAACTTCAGACTCTGAATGGTAACTTCTACATGTGAGATTGTTCACTATTATCCTAAAAGTTTAAGTTATAAAAAAAATAACACTTAAAAATCATGCAAAGGTTGGTTTACTGAGGCAGGAATCAAAAATGATTTGTGTTCCGACAAGGATGTCCACTCTCGCTGCTGTGTTCAACATAGTACTAGAAGTCCTAGCAACAGCAATCAGACAACAAAAGAAATAAAAGATATTCAAATTGGCAAAGAAGAAGTCAAACTCTCTCTTTGCAGATGACATGATACTTTCTATGGAAAACCCAAAAGACTCCACTCCCAAACTACTAGAACTCATACAGCAATTCAGAGATGTGGCAGGATACAAAATCAATGCACAGAAATCAGTTGCTTTCTTCTACACTAACAATGAAAATATAGAAAGGGAAACTAGAGAATCAATTCCATTTACTATAGCACCAAGAACCATAAGATACCTGGGAATAAACCTAATCAAAGAGGTAAAGGATCTGTACTCGAGGAACTACAGAACACTCATGAAAGAAACTCAAGGAGACACAAAAAGATGGAAAAGCATTCCATGCTCATGGATCGGAAGAAAAAACATTATTAAAATGCCTATATTGCCTAGAGCAATCTATACTTTCAATGCCATCCTGATCAAAATTCCACTGGTATTTTTCAAAGAGCTGGAACAAACAATCCTAAAATCTATATGGAACCAAAAGAGACCCCGAATTGCTAAGGAAATGTTGAAAAAGAAAAACAAAATAGGGGCACCACATTGCCTGATTTCAAGCTTTACTACAATCACTTCTTGGCCGTTTGGCTAAGACCAAGTGTCAAGCTTTACTGCAAAGCTGTGATCACCAAAACAGCATGGTACTGGCACAAACAGACACATAGACCAGTGGAACAGAGTAGAGAGCCCAGATATGGACCCTCAACTCTATGGTCAAATAATCTTTCACAAAGAAGGAAAAAATTTACAGTGGAAAGAAGACAGTCTCTTCAATAAATGGTGCTCGGAAAATTGGACAGCTATGTATAGAAGAATGAAACTCGACCATTCTCTTACACCATACACAAAGATAAACTCGAAATGGATAAAAGACCTCAATGTGAGGCAGGAATTCAACAAAATCCTAGAGAACATAGGCAGTAACCTCTTCGACATCAGCCACAGCAACTTCTTTCAAGACATGTCCGCAAAGGAACAAAAGCAAAAATGAACTTTTGGGACTTCATCAAGATCAAAGTTTCTGCACAGCAAAGAAAACAGTCAATAAAACAGAGGTAACCCACAGAATGGGACAAGATATTTGCAAATGACACTACAGACAAAGGGCTGATATCCAAGATCTATAAAGAACTCCTCAAACTCAACACACACAAAACAGATAATTACATCAAAAAATGGGCAGAAGACATGAGCAGACACTTCTCCAAAGAAGACATGGCTAACAGACACATGAAAAAATGTTCATCAGCATTAGCCATCAGGGAGATTCAAATCAAAACCACATTGAAATACCACCTTACACCAGTTAGAATAGCCAAAATCAACAAGACAGTAAACAACATGTGTTGGAGAGGATGTGGAAAAAGGGGAACCCTCTTAAACTGTTGGTGGGAATGCAAGTTGGTGCAGCCACTTTGGAAAACAGTGTGGAGATCCCTTAAGAAATTAAAGACCCTTTGACCCTGAAATTGCACTACTGGGTATTTACCCAAAGATACAGATGTAGTGAAAAGAAGGGCCATCTGTACCCCAATGTTCATAGCAGCAATAGCCACAGTTGCCAAACTGTGGAAAGAACCAAGATGCCCTTAAGACAAATGGATAAAGAAGATGTGGTCCATATATACAATGGAGTATAATGCCTCCATCAGAAAGGATGAATACCCAACTTTTATAACAACATGGATGGGACTGGAGGAGATTATGCTGAGTGAAATAAGTCAAACAGACAGAGTCAAGTATCATATGGTTTCACTTACTTGTGAAGCATAAGGGATAACACGGAAGACATTGGGAGATGGAGAGGAGAAGTGAGTTGGGGGAAATTGGGAGGGGGAAATGAACCATGAGAGACTGTGGACTCTGAGAAACAAAAGGAGGGCTTTGGAGGGGAGGGGGTTGGTGGAGTGGGTGAGCCTCGTGGTGGGTATTAAGGAGGGCATGTATTGTGTGGAGCACCGAGTGTGGTGCTCATGCACAATGTATTTTGGAACACACACAAAAAAATTAATTAAAAATTATTTGTGCTTAATATCAATTACATTAATATTTTATACATAAATTGACCCTAAAATTATTTTTTAGAGCAAGAAATTCCTGGATCCTAATATTTGGCTCATAGGACACTACCCTCTTTAGCTGTTACATCATTATATGATCACAGAAAATAAGCAAACTGCCCTGATTTTATGTATTACAGTGATGTTGAAAACTTAATTTTTCATAGTCTAGGCTAAGTTCATGCATCATGAAAAAATAATTTTTATTTTATAATTCTGTAAAATTGTATGTTATGTAATTAATTATATGTAATAACTATGACTTTGTAAATAGGTTCACAACCATCTTTCTTAAAAGCACCATTCTATTTGGGCCAATAAATAAATTAGAATCACTAATATTTCCTTCAGTTTTCTTTTTTTTTTTTAAGATTTTTATTTATTTATTTGACAGACAGAGATCACAAGTAGGCAGAGAGGCAGGCAGAGGGAGAGGGAGGGAAGCAGTCTCCGCTGAGCAGACAGCCCGATGCAGGGCTTGATCCCAGGACCCTGGGATCATGACCTGAATCGTAGGCAGAGGCTTTAACCCACTGAGCCACCCAGGCACCCCTTTCTTCAGTTTTCTTAACAGATGACAGTCTACCTTTACAGCTCTTTATGTTTCCACAGCATGAATATACACCTCGATTACAGAACTGATTATAGTACACAGTAATTTTTTGCTTTTCGTTTTTATTTCACCTGAAAAAATTTTTTAAGATTTTATTTATTTATTTGAGAGACGGAGCATGAGCAGGGGAGGTACAGATAAAGAAGCAAACTCCCCATTGAGCAGGAAGCCTGACATAGGGCTCCATCCCAGGACCCCAGGATCATGACCTGATCTGAAGGCAGATGCTTAACCAACTGAGCCACCAAAGTGTCCCTATTTATTTATTTCTTAAAATTTTATTTATTTATTTATTTGGGTTATTTACTTATTTATTTGACAGAGAAAGCAAGAGAGCACAAAGAGCACAAGCAGGGGGAACAGCAGAGGAGAGGGAGAAGAAGGCTCCCTGCCAAGCACCGAACCCTATGTGGGGCTCGATACCAGAACCCCGTGACCATGACCTGAGCCAAAGGCAGACACTTAACTGAGCTACCCAGGCGCCCCCATTTATTTATTTATTTATTTAAAGATTTTATTTATTTATTTGACAGGCAGAGATCACAAGTAGGCAGAGAGGCAGGCAGAGAGAGAGGAAGGGAAGCAGGCTCCCTGCTGAGCAGAGAACCCAATGCGGGGCTCGATCCCAGAACCCTGGGATCACGACGAGCACCGAAGGCAGAGGCTTTAACCCAGTGAGCCACCGCTTAATTTTAAAAAGATTTATTTATCTGAGAGAGAGAGAGAGAGAGAGAGAGCACAAGTAAGGGGAGGGGCAGAAGGAGAGCCTGATGGAGGAAGGATCCCAGGAGCCTCAGATTACCACCTTAGCAGAAATCAAGACTTGGCTGCTTCAATGGCCACAGTGGCTAAACTGTGGAAAGAACCAAGATGCCCTTCAACGGACGAATGGATAAGGAAGATGTGGACTATTATGGACTATTATGCCTCCATCAGAAAGGATGAATACCCAACTTTTGTATCAATATGGACGGGACTGGAAGAGATTATGCTGAGTGAAATAAGTCAAGCAGAGAGAGTCAATTATCATATGGTTTTGATTATTTGTGGAGCATAAGAAATAACATGGAGGACATGGGGAAATAAAGAGGAGAAGGGAGTTGGTGGGAATTGGAGAGGGAGAAGAACCATGAGAGACTGTGGACTCTGAAAAACAATTTGAGGGTTTTGGACGGGTGGGGGGTGGGAGGTTGGGTGAGCCTGGTGGTGGGTATTATGGAGGGCACGTATTGCACAGAGCACTGGGTGTGGTGCCTAAACAATGAATTCTGGAACACTGAAAAGAAATTAAAAAAAAAAAAAAAAAAAAAGAGAGAGAGTTGGCTGCTTAACCAACTGAACCACCCAGGCATCCCTGAACTCTATTACTTTTAAACTCCATTGTGTAAGATCACTTACACTTTACCCTAAGAACATAAGGTTGGTTTAACATTTGAAAATCAATCAATACAATTAACCATACTAATAGAAAATAGGAAAAATAATATGATTATCTCAATACTGTAACTGCAAAAAGAACATCTGATAAAATTCTAACATTCATTCCTGACTTAAAAGAAAAACATTCTCAGAAAACTGGCAATTTTTATTCATTTATTTATTTATTTCAAAACCTAGCAATTTATAGGAGAGTTTCCTCAACCTGATAAGCATCTAGGAAAAATCTACACCAAACACCATAATTAATAGTTTAAGAATGAATGCCTTCCCCATAAGATAAGGAAGAAGGCAAAGATGGCTGCTCTTACCACTTCCATCCACACTGTACTGGAGCTACAGGTACAGCTTCAGTACAATGGGGCAAAGAAAATAAATAAATGCAGCCTAAACTGTAAAGAAGTATAACTGTTTCTATCATCAGATGATCATCTATGTAGAAAACGTGAAGGAATCTACAAAACAGTTATTGGAACCAATAAGTGAGTTTATTTAGTAAGACAGCCAGATATATGATCAATATAGAAAATACAATGTATTTCTATGTGTTAGCAAAGAACAACTGGAAAAGGAAAGGTAAAAAACACATAATTTACAACAGCAGCAAAAATAATCAGGGATCAATCTAACTAAAGGTATGTAAGATCTGTACAATGAAAGCTATAAAATATTGCTGAGAGACTTTAAGGAAGACCTAAGTAAGCAGAGAAATACACTATATTCATGTATCAGAGAATCAATACTGTCAATCTTTCCCAAATTGACCTACAGATTCCACAATTCCAATCAAAATCCAGACACCATTTTTGTAGAAAGTGACAAGCTGATTCTAAAATCCATATGAAAATATAAAGAACCTAGAGGAGCCAAAACAACTTTGGTAAAGAAGAATAAAGCTGGAGGACTTACATAAGAAAAGATGTTCAACATTATCAATCATTAGTGAAATGCAAATTAAAATCACATGGAGAGGACTATGAGAACAGCTAAACGGAAAAAGTATCCTTGTTGGAAAAGATGTGGAGCAATTAGAACTCTCACGTACAGCTGGTAGGAATGTAAAATAGTATAATCATTTCATTTTGGGGAGAAAGTTTGGCATTTTCTTAAGAAGTTAATTATACACTTACCACATGATCCAGCCACTCTACTTTTAGGTATTACCCAAGAGAAATGAAAGCACATGTCCATTCAAAGACTTGCGTATAGATGGTTCATGTCAGCTTTATTTATAACAGCCTAAAGCTAGCAATGACCCAAATGTCCACCAACAGCTGCATGGATAAACGACTGTGGTATATCCATACAACAGTATAACACTCAGCAATAAAAAGGAATGACCTCTTGAAACACACAACAACCTCAATGAATCTCAAAATAACTTTGCTGAATTTTAAAGCCAAATAATAAAAAGTACATATAGTATAATTCCATTCATATAAAATTCTAGAAAATGCAAACTAATCTACAGAGACAGAAAGCAGATCAATGGTTGCCTGTGGACAGAGCAAAAGGGAGGGAATACAAAGGGCTGTAAGGAAATTTTTGGTGGTGATGGATATGTTTATTATCTTAATTATAGTGATGATTTAGAAAAAATTTTTTAAAAAGACTTTATTTATTTGACAGACAAAGATCACAAGTAGGCGGAGAGACAGGCGGAGAGAGAGGGGGAAGCAGGCTCCCTGCTGAGCAGAGCGCCTGATGCGGGGGGGCTCCATCCCAGGACTCTGGGATCATGACCCGAGCAGAAGGCAGAAGCTTTAACCCACTGAGCTACCCAGGAACCCAATTTTTTTTTTTTAATTTTATTTATTTATTTGACAGAGAGATCACAAGTAGGCAGAGATGCAGGCAGAGAGAGAGGGGGGAAGCAGGCTCCCCGCTGAGCAAAGAGCCTGATGCAGGGTTCGATCCCAGGACCCCGAGATTATGACTCAAGCTGAAGGCAGGGCTCAACCTGCTGAGCCACCCAGATACCCCTGTAGTGATGATTTTACACATATGTCAAAACTTACCAAACTGTATACTTTGAACACTGAAACTTACTGATACCAACTTAAACCCCAATAAAGCTGTTAAAAGAAAAAGTCTATCTTGAACTTTGAATGAATCTTTTACATACATGACTTTGTAACATCATATATTTGATCATTTAGAAAATATCAGCTCAGCGGAGCCTCCGATAGCTCAGTTGGTAGAACGGAGGACTGTAGAAAATATCGGCTCAATGAGTTACACAAATCTTCCAAAATGTTGACAAACTTCATTATATATACAAACAACATCAAAAATACCACATTCACATATGATTATCAATCTCCTCAGAGAAGTCTTTAATTATTGTGAAGTAAGTTCATAAGGATGGATACAAGTTTTCCAAAATTCTAATTATTGCTGGAGAGCTTGACCTTTAACACTGTCAACAAATACTGTCAGTTGTTTTCCTTAAAGTAACAGACTCATTTAATTTTTAAGAAAACGTCTATCAAATACTCAAATCTGAATAATCATAGTTTGTCAGCTGTTCTCTCAAGTAGAAATGGTGTTTTTGTTTTGTTTTTTTAAGATTTTATTTATTTACTGACAGAGAGAAAGAGAGCACAAGTAAGCAGAGCTGCAGGCAAGAGGGAGAGAGTGAAGCAGGCTCTCTGCTGAGCACAGAGCCTGATGTGGGGCTGGAATCATGACCCGAGCTGAAGGCAGCTACTTTACCAATTGAGCCACCCAGGCACCCTCCAGAAATGGTGTTTTTTTTGGCGGGGGGGTGGGAGGGTGGGGGTGGAAGCAGCTAATTCAGTTGCAACTAAAGGGCTTTTCTAAAGAGAACTGTCACACTTCAGTAAGGAATCATAGTGCTTTATGTATACTTTCCATTTCACCATTCAGAATATTAAAAACGTGAACTCTAGGGAAGTGTTTATTACAATTAGTAATTTTAACTGCTTTATCAAATATATTCTTTTTTTTTTTTTTTAAGATTTTATTTGACAGACAGAGATCACAAGTAGGCAGAGAGGCAGGCGGGGTGAGAGGGTGGGGCGGAAAGCAGGCTCCCTGCTGAGCAGAGAGCCTGATGCAGCTTGATCCCAGGACCCTGAGATCATGACCCCCAGCTGAAGGCAGAGGCTTAACCCACTGAGCCACCCAGGCGCCCTATCAAAGATATTCTTAACTGAATTTTTCTTTTCTAATTGTAAATGCACTGCAGGAAAGAATATAGTGACTCTTAGCACAATTTCATGCCACCTCCTTGATCTGTGCTAAGGCACCAGTAATTTTATCCACCATGGCTTCTGCTTTATCAGTGTAAATGTTAACATGGTGAAAAATACAAAAAGCACCATGGACTATTAAGAAAATAGTTTTGACCTCACAGACTTGCTAAAAATAAAAAGAGCCTTAGGGTCCAGACTTCACAGACCACAGTTTGAGAAACACTGTTCTACATCAAGACTTTTATAAACTCTAAGTAACATAATAACTTTATAATTATTCCATTAAAAAAAAAATGTAAGCTTTAGCCACAGAGAAAAACCTTACTTTTGTGGGATCTTGTCATCCTATCAGATTTAGCAGATGCATCCTTAACTCGGTTATGATATTCTAAAAGGAATGTTCGTTCATGCTCAAAGAAATCATCTACATCCTATAGGGTCAAAAGAAAATATAATTTTTCACTTATTTGCTTTAGTGTAATACATAAATCACTTTACCATTTAATCATAAAAGATCAGTAAAACCGCATAGCTATCCTCTAATAAGATGTTCTAATGATTTTACCAACAAGTTCAGACTTCATATAGACATGCACTTCTATCTATCCAGGAAGAAATCTGGAATGGTTTTGCAGATGAAAGCTTAGATCCTTCCACAATGGTTCATGTTCACATGTTGAACTCTGAAACGTGTTCCTTCCTACTTATGTTCTGTGTCTACAGTCCTGCCTCTCCAAGAGATACATTACTGCCAGGGGAAGTAATCTATTGCTTTTGAAAAGAAAAAAATTACGAGAGGCAAGTCTCAATCTATTTCTCTTGGTCTACTATGTATTCTATGAGCCATTCCTGAAGGCTGCCAAGCCTTTGTCATTACAGCCCTCTCTGACTGCTTTGGGGAAATATGGCCAAACTAGCCTTCTGGAAGCAATTACTGTATCTTTTTTGAAACAAAGCCAGATACACATTAAAAATAAAACTATTCAAAATCCTTTCCTCCTTTCTAAAACAGCAGTCGCTTTTTTGAAAAAGCACCAGCTAAAATGATGTAATTCAAATCCACATTAACAGAACTTAGGAAAGAAAAGTCGGTACTAACAAAATTTCTTTAAAATTTGTAATTCATGTGTATAAATTTTAACTGTTAAAATGGGGATAAAACTACCCAACTTGTAGGGTTGAAGAGTAAACAAAATATGGATCAACGAACACACTGTAAATGTTCAAAAAATGTTAGTTACTTCTTCACCAAAATCATAATCCATATAGTGGTTTATACTTAATGCTAAGAAAAATGTTCAATATTAATGCATAAGTAGCATCAAAATGAAAGAAGTGGAGTCCTTACTAGAAAGTAGCCATGGCACAAGCACTGTCAACAGACCAGCTGACCTGTCTCTGAAAAACTGAAGTGTAAATCAAATAAACAGTAATTCCCACCTAAGTTTTACTTCAGATGTGTTTATAAAAACAGGCAATGATGACAAAGCAGCATTTATCTTTCTTTGTATCTGCTTGATAATGTAATACAAACACTTTTTTCTTTTAGTGGTGAGAGTCTTAGATAAATTAATTCTTGTACCATTTTTAGAACATCATTAAGAAATACTTGGGTATTATTTATTTTAATTTTGAATACACCTGTTTATTTGTAAGCTCCACGCGCAACATGGGGCTTGAATTCACGACCCTGAGATCAAGAGTCATATGCTCTACCAAATAAGCCAGGCACCCCCCACCCCCACCCACAAGACTAAAACCTCAACGGAGCTCTTCTAACTCCACATCTGAACCCAAGTCTGCTCCTAAGATTTTGTAGGCCAAGGACAAATGTACAAATGGAAGCAGTCCCTCTTCATGCCCTATCCTGCAGTTCTGTAAGGCACCCAGAGAAACCTCACATACGTATGTAAATGGATATTCTCTCCTGCACACTGATCTTCTCCCTTGTGCCCGCCCTCTCCCCAGCTGTTCCATGGTCACCCCTGACCACCCATGAATGCATACACTGGAGGATGAACTCAGAGAAGAGGCCCACAGAAGAGGAAAAGTTAGAAGCAGGCTTCAGATTTAGGCAAGGAAATACGGGGTTCCAGATCCCTAAAGCCTGGTCTAGTTTGGAGGTAAGGGGCATGCACTCCAGGTGGGTAAATCCCCTTGGACCTACAGATCTCTCACCCCTGGGAAAAGGAAGTTCTCCAAAGAGTAGAATCGAGGGCAGGGGGCCCAAACTTCTCTTTTACTCCAACAGTGTCATCTGCACATCTGAAATCTCAATCTATCTTCTTAAAAGGAGTAGATTCTCAAACCAATACCTCTATTAATCAAATAAAATCTTACCTTTACTCCCGAAACAATTACTCCATCTGCTGATTTTACCATGTTTTTAAAGAAATCTTCAAGTTTCTCTTTTTTATTTTTTCCTCTCACACTCAGCTGAAAGAAAGGTAAACTTAAGCTGACAATTTTTTTAGATTACAAATGGAAAGTCATACTTTCTTTTTTTAAAGTAACACCTTTTATTCTCTGACATCAAAATGGCAACCACAAAAGGATCCTGGTTTTTAAACTTTAGTAAATTGGCAATTTCATCATGTGTATCAGTGACTTTCAAACTTTAGGGTACTAAAGAGGAGGCTGGCTTTACTCTCAAAGATTCAGATTCAGGTGGTCTACAATAATGCCTAGATTATCTCAAATTTTGTGAGTACATCTGATAATCCCATTGCAAGTAGCCTTATCATCATATATATAATATAAAGACAACTACAAATTTAATCCAGGTGTTCCTTTAAAGATATAAAATTTAGGGGCGCCTGGGTGGCTCAGTGGGTTAAGCCTCTGCCTTTGGCTCAGGTCATGATCTCAGGGTCCTGGGATTGAGCCCCGCATCAGGCTCTCTGCTCAGCAGGGGGTCTGCTCCCCCCCCTCCCCCGCCTGCTTCTCTGCCTACTTGTGATCTCTGTCAAATAAATAAAATCTTAAAAAAAAAATGTAAAATTTATGGAGTCATACACCATCACATGACTCTGTGTAAGCTTTGAAAACACATTCTGCAAATTCTTTTTTTTTTTGTAAGATTTTATTTATTTTATTTGTGAGAGAATGAGAGAACGAGCAGTGTGAGGGGCAGATGAAGAAGCAGACTCCCCACCGAGCAGGGAGCCTGATGTGGGGCTCAATTCTGGGACTCTGGGATCATGACTGAGCTGAAAGGTAGATGCTTAACCTACTGAGCTACCCAGGCACCCCATATTCTGCCAAATTCTTCACTCTGAACTCATCCAAATATCATGTCTTGTCCTGTTCTGGAGATTAGCAACTTATAAGGGACACAAAAGGTTGACACCCAAATGGCAAGAATGGTTATCTAAAGAATGGTTATCTAAAGGCAAAACTGAGAAGCAGGGTGCCTGGGTGGCTCAGTCCTGGAATCGAGGCCTACATCGGGCTCTCTGCTCGGTGGGGAGCCGACTTCTCTTCTCTCTCTGCCTGCTTGTGATCTTTCTCTCTCTGTCAAATAAATAAATAAAATTGTTTAAAAACAAACAAACAAACAAACAAAAAAACTGAGAAGCAGCTAACTCTTTGACTTTACCACTTGCTACATCAGGATGTGCCACAATGGAACATCCCATCTAATTTTCCGATCTACTGCCATGGCTCCAATGTTCACCATTATGTAAATGATTCACAATCATGATTACTACCCCTAAGCTCTTTCCTGAACGTCAGACCCTATTTCCAACTGCCTATATCATATCCTTATATGGAGATTCTGCTAAACCCACATTAGATTAAGACAGTATTCATTATAATCTAATCTCCAAATTTTTCTTCTTGGATCCCTATCTATGGTCCCTCCATCCAACCAGTCTCTTCAACATATTCCCTTAAACACCATACCTCTCATTAAAAATCTTGAAAATCTACAACTTCTTTTTGTCTCTCACAACTCAAATTCTATCATCAAATGCCTGAAATCTGTCCCTTTCTTTCCCACTGTCCTAGTGAAAACCTTATTATTTCTGGCCTATTATACTGTACTACTTGTTAACATCTCTTTTTCTCAATTCAATTCATTCTGTTGATGACTTCCAAAATCAAATTTTGAGCATCTCTTCCCTACTCAAATTTTTTTTTTTTTTTAAGATTTTATTTATTTATTTGACAGACAGAGATCACAAGCAGGCAGGGAGGCAGGCAGAGAGAGGAGGAAGCAGGCTCTCCGCAGAGCAGAGAGCCCGATGCGGGGCTCGATCCCAGGACGCTGGGATCATGACCTGAGCCGAAGGCAGAGGCTTTAACCCACTGAGCCACCCAGGCGCCCCTTCCCTACTCAAATTTTTACAGAGTTTCACAATGTTCAGAGATTGAAAGCCTATTCAAGACTTTCAACAATCTGGTTCAACTTATCTTTCCATCTATCACCCTACCCCCACAGAACCTTATGTTCCAAACAGTTCTCAAAAGAAGCTCTGAACTTTTAGACTCCTCTATACCTGAAATGCTCTCTCTCCTCCTACCAAAAAAAATTTTTTTTTAAAAGATTTTTATTTATTTGACAGAGATTACAAGTAAGCAGAGGAGATAGGCAGAGAGAGAGGAGGAAGCAGGCTCCCCACCTAGCAGAGAGCCTGATGTGGGGCTCGATCCCAGGACCCTGGGACCATGACCTGAGCTGAAGGCAGAGGCTTTAACCCACTGAGCCACCCAGGCGCCCCCTACCAAAAATTCTATTCAGGTATCATTAAACATCCAAATTAAAATATATCTCTTCATGAAACCCTTCCAAACTGCTTTATCTTTAGGCTTCTCAATACATGCTGGGTGTTTTCTTAAACTGCATTTTTAAGATTAATTCATTAATTCACTCATTTAATTAACCACTGACAAATGTACATAAAATCAGGCACTGCGCTAGGTATTCAGGATATAAAGATGATTATGCAGTGGTCCCTACTATTTTTTTTTTTAAAAGACTTATTTACTTGAGAGAGAGCTCGTAAGAGAGAGCGTGAGCTGGAAGAGGTGCAGAAGGAAATGAGAGAGAGAAAATCCCAAGTAGGCTCCCTGCTGAGGATGGAGTCCAATGCAGGGCTGGATCCCAGCAACTTGAGACCATGACCTGAGCCAAAATTAAGAGTCAGGCCCTCGGGGTGCCTGTCCCGGGATCGGGACTGAGTCCCACATTGGGCTTCCTGCTCAGCGGGGAGTCTGCTTCTCCCTCTGACCCTCCCCCCTCTCATGCTCTCTCTCAAATTTAAAAAAAAAGGGGCGCCTGGGTGGCTCAGTGGGTTGGGCCGCTGCCTTCGGCTCAGGTCATGATCTCAGAGTCCTGGGATCGAGCCCTGCATCGGGCTCTCTGCTCAGCAGGGAGCCTGCTTCCTCCTCTCTCTCTGCCTGCCTCTCTGCCTGCTTGTGATCTCTCTCTGTCAA